ATAGAAAGTGTAATAAAATTATCTCATATAAGAAGAAAAAAAGAAAGAAAATAGAAAAAAGATAGTTTGACCTGGTGAGCATCAGGGCCCCAGAGCTGGATCAGGGCCCCAGAGCTGGATCAGGGCCCCAGAGCTGGATCAGGGCCCCAGAGCTGGATCAGGGCCCCAGAGCTGGATCAGGGGCCCAGAGCTGGATCAGGGCCCCAGAGCTGGATCAGGGCCCCAGAGCTGGATCAGGGCCCCAGAGCTGGATCAGGGCCCCAGAGCTGGATCAGGGCCTCAGAGCTGGATCAGGGCCCCAGAGCTGGATCAGGGCCCCAGAGCTGGATCAGGGCCCCAGAGCTGGATCAGGGCCCCAGAGCTGGATCAGGGCCCCAGAGCTGGATCAGGGCCCCAGAGCTGGATCAGGGCCCCAGAGCTGGATCAGGGCCCCAGGGGCTGAGCTGATCAGGGCCCCAGAGCTGGATCAGGGCCCCAGAGCTGGATCAGGGCCCCAGAGCTGGATCAGGGCCTCAGAGCTGGATCAGGGCCCCAGAGCTGGATCAGGGCCCCAGAGCTGGATCAGGGCCCCAGAGCTGGATCAGGGCCCCAGAGCTGGATCAGGGTCCCAGAGCTGGATCAGGGCCCCAGAGCTGGATCAGGGCCCCAGAGCTGCGACCACTGTCAGCCTCAGAGTTATCTCTGAGTTACCAGACCTTGCCACGTGGAGGCCAGTGGTTCGTCTTTAAGGTCCCCCCCCCCTCGCCTTCCCCAGGTTCATGTGTCCAGGAATCCATCCGTGGGCCCCCGGATGTCTCCCCTTTCTCAGTTCCCTAAGGTCAGCCTCGCCTCTCTCTCTCTCTCTCTCTCTCTCTCTCTCTGCCTTCCAGCCTCAGCCTTCCCCAGGTTCATGTATCCAGGAATCCATCCGCTCGCTCCGGATGTCTCCCCTTCCCCACTTACCCAAGGTCAGCCTCAACCACAACCTTCCCCAAGTTCATGAATCCAGGAATCCATCCGTTCGCTCCCGGATGTCTTCCCTTCCCCACTTACCTAAGGTCGGCGGTGCCTTCCCCGGATCAGTGTCTCCAGGAGTCTGCTTGTGTCACCTGAGTGGACTCCCTTCCCCACTTCCTCAGAGTCAGCGGTATTCTTGCTTTCCTTAGGATCATGTATCCAGGAATCCATCCGTCTACCGCCGGATGTCTCCCCTTCCCCACTTACCCAAGGTCAGCCTCAACTGCACGTATTCATGCCTTCCCCAGGCTCATGTATCCAGGAATCCATCCGCTCGCTCCGGATGTCTCCCCTTCCCCACTTACACAAGGTCAGCCTCAACTGCATGTATTCATGCCTTCCCCAGGTTCATGTATCCAGGAATCCATCCGCTCGCTCCGGATGTCTCCCCTTCCCCACTTACACAAGGTCAGCCTCAACCACAACCTTCCCCAAGTTTATGAATCTAGGAATCCATCCGCTCGCTCCAGATGTCTTCCCTTCCCCACTTACCTAAGGTCGGCGGTGCCTTCCCCGGATCAGTGTCTCCAGGAGTCCACTTATGTCACCTCAGGAGGACTCCCTTCCCCACTTCCCCAAGATCAGCGGTATTCTTGCCGTCCGCAGGATCATGTATCCAGGAATCCTTCCGTCTACCGCCGGATATCTTCCCTTCCCCACTTACCCAAGGTCAGCCTCAACTGCATGTATTCTTGCCTTGCTCAGGTTCATGTATCCAGGAATCCATCCGCTCGCTCCGGATGTCTCCCCTTCCCCACTTACCCAAGGTCAGCCTCAACTGCATGTATTCTTGCCTTGCTCAGGTTCATGTATCCAGGAATCCATCCGCTCGCTCCGGATGTCTCCCCTTCCCCACTTACCCAAGGTCAGCCTCAACAACAACCTTCCTCAAGTTCATGTATCCAGGAATCCATCCGCTCGCTCCGGATGTCTTCCCTTCCCCATTTCCCTAAGGTCGGCGGTGCCTTCCCCGGATCAGTGTCTCCAGGAGTCCACTTATGTCACCTGAGTGGACTCCCTTCCCCACTTCCCCAGAGTCAGCGGTGCCTTCCCCGGATCAGTGTCTCCAGGAGTCCACTAGTGTCACCTGAGTGGACTCCCTTCCCCACTTCCTCAGAGTCAGCGGTATTCTTGCTTTCCTTAGGATCATGTATCCAGGAATCCATCCGTCTTCCGCCGGATGTCTCCCCTTCCCCACTTACCCAAGGTCAGCCTCAACTGCACGTATTCATGCCTTCCCCAGGTTCATGTATCCAGGAATCCATCCGCTCGCTCCGGATGTCTCCCCTTCCCCACTTACACAAGGTCAGCCTCAACTGCATGTATTCATGCCTTCCCCAGGTTCATGTATCCAGGAATCCATCCGCTCGCTCCGGATGTCTCCCCTTCCCCACTTACACAAGGTCAGCCTCAACCACAACCTTCCCCAAGTTTATGAATCCAGGAATCCATCCGCTCGCTCCGGATGTCTTCCCTTCCCCACTTACCTAAGGTCGGCGGTGCCTTCCCCGGATCAGTGTCTCCAGGAGTCCACTTATGTCACCTCAGGAGGACTCCCTTCCCCACTTCCCCAGAGTCAGCGGTGCCTTCCCCGGATCAGTGTCTCCAGGAGTCCACTTATGTCACCTCAGGAGGACTCCCTTCCCACTTCCCCAAGGTCAGCGGTATTCTTGCCGTCCACAGGATCATGTATCCAGGAATCCTTCCGTCTACCGCCGGATATCTTCCCTTCCCCACTTACCCAAGGTCAGCCTCAACTGCATGTATTCTTGCCTTGCTCAGGTTCATGTATCCAGGAATCCATCCGCTCGCTCCGGATGTCTCCCCTTCCCCACTTACCCAAGGTCAGCCTCAACAACAACCTTCCTCAAGTTCATGTATCCAGGAATCCATCCGCTCGCTCCGGATGTCTTCCCTTCCCCATTTCCCTAAGGTCGGCGGTGCCTTCCCCGGATCAGTGTCTCCAGGAGTCCACTTATGTCACCTGAGTGGACTCCCTTCCCCACTTCCCCAGAGTCAGCGGTGCCTTCCCCGGATCAGTGTCTCCAGGAGTCCACTAGTGTCACCTCAGATGGACTCCCTTCCCCACTTCCCCAGAGTCAGCGGTTGCCACCTTCAGTGACCTCGCTGCATGGAAACTTGGTCTTGTCTAGCTGGTCTACGGTAGAGACTGTCCAGGTGGGTGGAATTACTGGAGGTGACACACACAGAAAACTGCGTCCAGTAATTACACCCACCAAGACAGCCTGGACCGTAGGTCAGCTAGACGCCACCAAGCGGCCTCACAGTTCCGCCACCTCCGAGAGGCTAATTATCATAAATTTTGGAAATCCTTTTATATTACACTATGAATTTAGTCTAAGTACGAGATTTTCTTGTTTATTTATCAGTTTAAAAGTATTTGTAAGTGTTTTATTTTACGTAGATGAATGTCCAAGTGTTGAAGAACTTTTCCACCTCCATCAAAACTGTATTAAATATTACACTGTTTTCATTTTTATTTATTTATTTGTTATTTTCATATGACATTGAAAGGCTAACAAGCGCACAAACATACACATATATATGTATTTTTACATACATTTATACGCTGGTTTACTACCACCACCTGCAATATTATATTACTACTACTACTACTACCACCACCTGCAATATTATATTACTACTACTACTACAACCTGCAATATTATATTACTACTACTACTACTACCACCTGCAATATTATATTACTAATACTACTACCACCTGCAATATTATATTACTACTACTACTACCACCTGTAATATTATATTACTACTACTACTACTACCACCTGCAATATTATATTACTACTACTACTACCACCTACAATCACACCTCACTCTAAGCCTATATATACCATCTGTGTCCATGTACTGTTTGTAAAGGCTTGACAAAGCTCCTGGAGAGCGAAACAATAAAATGTCACAATAAAATGTCACAAAAAAATTCCCACAATAAAATGTCACATTAGTTGCATTTGTGTCCTTTTACTTTACATATTGTCGGTAATTCTATCAACATATATACTAACTGACTCAGAGTTAGAAACAGATGTGCTCAGTCTTCAACACTTGTCACAGTAAAGTAACACAAGATCAGTACAGTAACTTACAAGAACAGTAGAGCACAGTAACACACATCAGTACAGTAACACAAAAGATCAGTAAAGTAACACAAAAGATCAGTACAGTACAGTACCACAGAAGATCAGTACAGTAGTAACACAGAAGATCAGTACAGCAACACAAAAGACCAGTACAGTAACATAGAAGATCAGTACAGTACAGTAGCACCGAAGATCAGTACAGTAGTAACACAGAAGATCAGTACAGTAACACAGAAGATCAGTACAGTACAGTAACACAGAAGAGTACAACTCAGTAACACCACCGTGGCTACTGTCAGGGAGGCTGGAGTGGGAATAAATCACGGGCTATGTCAGGGAAATGGAGTGGGAGTAACATCACCGTGGCTACTGTAAAGGGGAGGCTGGAGTAGGAATAACGCCACCGTGGCTACTGTCAGGGACGCTGTAGTGGGAATAACATCACAGTGGCTACTGTCAGGGAGGCTGGAGTGGGAATAACGCCACCTTTGGCTACTGTCAGGGACGCTGTAGTGGGAATAACATCACCGTGGCTACTGTCAGGGAGGCTGGAGTGGGAATAACGCCATCGTGGCTACTGTCAGGGACGCTGTAGTGGGAATAACATCACCGTGGCTACTGTCAGGGAGACTGGAGTGGGAATAACGCCACGTGGTACTGTCAGGGACGCTGTAGTGGGAATAACATCACCGTGGCTACTGTCAGGGAGACTGGAGTGGGAATAACGCCACCGTGGCTACTGTCAGGGAGGCTTGAGTGGGAATAACATTACCGTGGCTTCTGTCAGGGAGACTGGAATGGGAATAACATCACAGTGGCTACTGTCAGGGAGGCTGAGGTGGGAATAACATCACCATGGTTACTGTCAGGGAAACTGGAGTGGGAATAACACCACCATGGCTACTGTCAGGGAGGTGAGGTGTGGGAAAAACCCATCACCGTGGCTACTGTCAGGGAAACTGGAGTGGGAATAACACCATGGCTACTGTCACGGAGGCTGGAGTGGGAATAACGCCACCGTGGCTACTGTCAGGGAGGCTTGGAGTGGAGTAACATCACCGTGGCTACTGTCAGGGAGGCTGGAGTGGGAATAACGCCACCGTGGCTACTGTCAGGGACGCTGTAGTGGGAATAACATCACCGTGGCTACTGTCAGGGAGACTGGAGTGGGAATAACGCCACCGTGGCTACTGTCAGGGAGGCTGGAGTGGGAATAACATTACCGTGGCTTCTGTCAGGGAGACTGGAATGGGAATAACATCACAGTGGTTACTGTCAGGGAGGCCGGAGTGGGAATAACATCACCGTGGCTACTGTCAGGGAGACTGGAATGGGAATAACATCACAGTGGCTACTGTCAGGGAGGCTGGAGTGGGAATAACATCACCATGGTTACTGTCAGGGAAACTGGAGTGGGAATAACACCACCATGGCTACTGTCAGGGAGGGAGGAGTGGGAATAACATCACCGTGGCTACTGTCAGGGAGGCTGGAGTGGGAATAACGCCACCGTGGCTACTGTCAGGGACGCTGTAGTGGGAATAACATCACCGTGGCTACTGTCAGGGAGACTGGAGTGGGAATAACGCCACCGTGGCTACTGTCAGGGAGGCTGGAGTGGGAATAAAAATTACCGTGGCTTCTGTCAGGGAGACTGGAATGGGAAAAAACATCACAGTGGCTACTGTCAGGGAGGCCGGAGTGGGAATAACATCACCGTGGCTACTGTCAGGGAGACTGGAATGGGAATAACATCACAGTGGCTACTGTCAGGGAGGCTGGAGTGGGAATAACATCACCATGGTTACTGTCAGGGAAACTGGAGTGGGAATAACACCACCATGGCTACTGTCAGGGAGGGAGGAGTGGGAATAACATCACCGTGGCTACTGTCAGGGAAACTGGAGTGGGAATAACACCATGTCACGGAGGCTGGAGTGGGAATAACGCCACCGTGGCTACTGTCAGGGAGGCTGGAGTGGGAGTAACATCACCGTGGCTACTGTCAGGGAGGCTGGAGTGGGAATAACGCCACCGTGGCTACTGTCAGGGACGCTGGAGTGGGAATAACATCACCGTGGCTACTGTCAGGGACGCTGGAGTGGGAATAACATCACCGTGGCTACTGTCAGGGACGCTGGAGTGGGGGAATTAACATCACCGTGGCTACTGTCAGGGAGGCTGGAGTGGGAATAACATCACCGTGGCTACTGTCAGGGAGGCTGGAGTGGGAATAAGACCACAATAGCTACTGTTGAGGTCGACGCTTTTGAATCCAAATCATGAATCCAAATCTTGAATTATGAATAGTAATAATAATAATAACAATAAAATTATTTGCGACCACTGTCAGCCTCAGAGTTATCTCTGAGTTACCAGACCTTGCCACGTGGAGGCCAGTGGTTCGTCTTTAAGGTCCCCCCCCCCCCGCCTTCCCCAGGTTCATGTGTCCAGGAATCCATCCGTGGGCACCCGGATGTTTCCCCTTTCTCAGTTCCTTAAGGTAAGCCTCGCCTCTCTCTCTCTCTCTCTCTGCCTTCCAGCCTCAGCCTTCCCCAGGTTCATGTGTCCAGGAATCCATCCGTTCGCTCCCGGATGTCTCCCCTTCCCCACTTACCCAAGGTCAGCCTCAACCACAACCTTCCCCAAGTTCATGAATCCAGGAATCCATCCGTTCGCTCCCGGATGTCTTCCCTTCCCCACTTACCTAAGGTCGTCGGTGCCTTCCCCGGATCAGTGTCTCCAGGAGTCCGCTTGTGTCACCTGAGTGGACTCCCTTCCCCACTTCCTCAGAGTCAGCGGTATTCTTGCTTTCCATAGGATCATGTATCCAGGAATCCATCCGTCTACCGCCGGATGTCTTCCCTTCCCCACTTACACAAGGTCAGCCTCAACTGCATGTATTCATGCCTTCCCCAGGTTCATGTATCCAGGAATCCATCCGCTCGCTCCGGATGTCTCCCCTTCCCCACTTACACAAGGTCAGCCTCAACTGCATGTATTCATGCCTTCCCCAGGTTCATGTATCCAGGAATCCATCCGCTCGCTCCGGATGTCTCCCCTTCCCCACTTACACAAGGTCAGCCTCAACTGCATGTATTCATGCCTTCCCCAGGTTCATGTATCCAGGAATCCATCCGCTCGCTCCGGATGTCTCCCCTTCCCCACTTACCCAAGGTCAGCCTCAATCACAACCTTCCCCAAGTTCATGAATCCAGGAATCCATCCGTTCGCTCCCGGATGTCTTCCCTTCCCCACTTACCTAAGGTCGGCGGTGCCTTCCCCGGATCAGTGTCTCCAGGAGTCTACTTGTGTCACCTGAGTGGACTCCCTTCCCCACTTCCTCAGAGTCAGCGGTATTCTTGCTTTCCTTAGGATCATGTATCCAGGAATCCATCCGTCTACCGCCGGATGTCTCCCCTTCCCCACTTACACAAGGTCAGCCTCAACTTCACGTATTCATGCCTTCCCCAGGTTCATGTATCCAGGAATCCATCCGCTCGCTCCGGATGTCTCCCCTTCCCCACTTACCCAAGGTCAGCCTCAACTTCACGTATTCATGCCTTCCCCAGGTTCATGTATCCAGGAATCCATCCGCTCGCTCCGGATGTCTCCCCTTCCCCACTTACACAAGGTCAGCCTCAACCACAACCTTCCCCAAGTTTATGAATCCAGGAATCCATCCGCTCGCTCCCGGATGTCTTCCCTTCCACACTTACCTAAGGTCGGCGTGCCTTTCCCCGGATCAGTTTTCCTCCAGGAGTCCACTTGTGTCACCTGAGGGACTCCCTTCCCCACTTCCTCTGAGTCAGCGGTATTCTTGCTTTCCTTAGGATCATGTATCCAGGAATCCATCCGTCTACCGCCGGATGTCTCCCCTTCCCCACTTTCCCAAGGTCAGCCTCAACTTCATGTATTTTTGCCTTCCCCAGGTTCATGTATCCAGGAATCC